CAGTAAGAATAGAATTCCTGTTTTTCTTACATTTTTTTTAAAGATTTTATTTATTTATTTGACAGAGAGAGAGATCACAAGTAGGCAGACAGGCAGGCAGAGGGAGAGGGAGAAGCAGGCTCCCCACTGAGCACAGAGCCCGATGCAGAACTTGATCCCAGTGGGGATCATGACCTGAGCCAAAGGCAGACGCTTAACCGACTGAGCCACCCAGGTGCCTCTTTTACATCTTAAATTACTGCTTTTAAATGAATATGTGGTCTGTTTTATTTGACAGCATTATTTTTTTCATAAGTCCTTGGTAATTGCTTGATTTCACTGTGCAAACTTCTGTTGATTTCTGTCAAATCTGTTTTTTCATTTCATTCTTTTTTTTTTTAAGATTTTATTTATTTATTTATTTATTTGAGAGAGGGAATGAGATAGAGAGAGCATGAGAGGGGGGAGGGTCAGAGGGAGAAGCAGACTCCCCGCTGAGCAGGGAGTCCAATGTGGGACTCGATCCCGGGACTCCAGGATCATGACCTGAGCCGAAGGCAGTCGCCCAACTGACTGAGCCACCCAGGCGCCCTCATTTCATTCTTTAAAATTTATTTACTCCTTTTATTCTTCTAACTTTTATAAATATATGCTTTATTCGTAAACATTTGAAAACTCAAAAGTCTTGTTTCCTTTTTCCTTTTCTTGGTTTATAAATGTTTTTAAGCTCACTGAAAGTTTTGGCCTTAACTCTTATCCAGACTTAAAACTTGGAGCAGTTCTTGGTACAGACTTTTTTTCACTGTGCCCAAGCCAAGTACAAAGTTTACTCTAATAAAATACCTTTAGGTTATACAGTAACATAGTATTGAAACTTAATATTTATGTCTTTATTGTATTTTAAATGCATTGAGAGAGGAAAATATCTTTTTTTAAGATTTTATTTATTTGAGAGAGAGCACGAGCGGGGCTGTGAAAGGGCAGAGGGAGAAGCAGACTCCCCGCTGAGCAGAGAGCCTGATTCAGGACTCGATCCTGGGATGCTGAGATCATGGCCCAAGCCAAAGGTAGATGCTTAACCGACCGAGCCACCCAGGTGACCTAAAAATATTTTTTTAAGTGCATGCACAGCCTGACATAATTAGCACAAAGTCTGACTCATAGGGTTCAGTAACTGATAAATTTTAAAATTCATTATTTTGTTGATACTTCCTTTTCTTTTGCTCTCATATGCTTCCACCTGACCCACCAGTTTCACTGTCAATACCCTATGCCAGACAAATATATTATTCTTAAAATTAATCAAACCTTTGTTTTACTGCATTCTTCAGCAAGACTCATTTACAGACACAAATCTATTTGTTTCTTGCTTTCAGTTCTCCAGTGGATTCCTGTTAGGTTTAAAAATTAAAGGGCCACCTGGGTGGTTCAGTTGGTTAAGCGTCTGCCTTCAGCTCAGGTCATGATCCTCAGGGTCCTGGGTTCAAGTCCCACATCAGGCTCCCTGCTCAGCGGGGAGTCCGCTTCTCCCTTTCCCTCTGCCCCTCCCCATGTTCATTCTCTCTCATGCACACTCTCTCTGTGTCTCAAATAAATAAATAAAATCTTTTTTTAAAAAATTAAAAGACCAGTCCAATTACAATGACCTTGATCCCTGAAATCTGCTTGTTTGCCTCCATCTCAGGTTCATCCCATAACTCAACTACCTTCCAGTGTGTCCTCGCTTCCTGGGGCACAGCAGGTTCTGCAATGTGTCTACAGTGTTACACTTGCTCCCTCATTGGGGGGGAGGGGGCTGAACCTATTTCTATCTTTGCTAAACTTTCTAATGCTTTCCCAACTAAATTTTAAGGTGCCAGATAAATTATGTGTGCATTTTAATAGTGTTTCCCCACCTCCACAAATGAAATGCTTTAGTATTTTCACAGAGAATATTCTTGTCATTATTTCTTTAATCTCTTCTAAACTAGACTTAAGATGATCTTTCCATGTAATTTCACTGTCTGGTACAGTCTTTGTTCTGAGTTGACTTGAAACATTTATTAATGACAAAAGGAGATCATCACTTATTCTCAAGTACAAATGTTGCACTAAATAGGTTAAAAAGACATAGAACACATCAAAAGAGAGCACCTGTGTGGCTCAGTGGGTTAAGCGTCTGCCTTCAGGTCAGGTCATGATCCCAGGGTTGTGGAATCGAGCCCCACATCGGGCTCTGTGCTCAGTGGGGAGCCTGCTTCTCCCTCTCCCTCTGCCCCTTCCCCTGCTTGTGCTCTCTCTCTCTCAAATAAATAAAATCTTAGAAGGAAAGAACACATCAAAGATACATGAAAATCAAAAGTTCATCAACTAATGGTTTACTACTAAAATAATATATACTAAAGATCTTTTACTGTCAGAAGATTAAAATGTTAAAATGACAAAGCATTTCTTATGGCATCTTACCTAAATGGAAAATATATTACATGATTTTTCTTCAGAAACAATATATTCTTCTATAAAGAAATGTCTTAAGATTTTAGAATTTTTATTCTTTTACCATCAATTTAAAACATACACTATTTAGAGATAAAAGTAGAAATTCCATGGTTGTCAGAAGGTGAGGGTGGGAAGAGGAATGGGAGTTGTTTCATGGCTTAGAAGATGGAGTTCTGGAGACAGATGGTGGTGATAATTGCACAACATTATGAATGTATTAACATCATTGGACTACACACTTAAAAATGATTAGGGTGGGGGGTGACCGCTGGCTCAGTCAGTGGAGCTTGTGAGTCTTGATCTCAGGGTTGTAAGTTCAAGCCCCACGTTGGGTGTAGAAATTACTTAAAAAATAAAATTAAAAAAAAAAAAGATTAGGATGGTAAATGTTATATTGTGTGTATTTTGCCACAATAAAATAAAATGGAAAAATATCCTACTTATAGTAAAATCAATGCTTACAGTGATCATTCACTTTAGAAATCATCTGTTAAAAAGAAAAATAAGAATCTGTCAAGTTATTAATTCATTTACTTAGGAAAAAAATCTCATTTTTTTGGAAAGTGAGGGGAGAAATCAGAATGTGTGAGTTCAGAAGCATGGAGGTTTGAAATATTTAAGGAGCATCGAAGATTTATTAGTTACCAAACAAGAATGGTGTTGCCAGATACATTTGGAAGCTACTACGAGTTGTGACTTGACATATACAGGAGGGTCAGTGTCTTGGTCCTGTGTTGCCACCTACAGTCATGGAATAGGCAGGCATGTGGAGTCACCTTCTGTTGGACCCTTGATCAGCAGACATAGTAAAAAGACATAAATAACATTAGTCTGGGTCAATATCTATAGAAGTGACTAACTGAACTAACCTGGGCAGTAAAAATGAGGAGGGCTGGAGGCTGACGTTTGGGAATTGGGGCAATGCTGTGGTTCTCATGCAGTAGAAAACTTGGACACGGGATCTAATTCTGTGAAAAAGCAAGGACAATGGGTTGTAAAAACAGGGTGGGGCCTCTGATTGTTAATGTTAGGGGTACTATTCCAGGTAAAATCTAGGTGTGATGTGTAACCCTTAAAATTTGAGAGTAGGAGAAAGGGAAAGGGAAATTCAAATTCTGCCTGTAACACTTTTCTAATGTGCTTCTGTGCATGTATATGCTGGCGTGCATGGGGTTTTGTCATACTACTAAAGCTTCCTGAAACTCTGATGATGGCATTTATTGAATTAATAATGAAATCATAATTAGCAGAATTCTTTTGAGGAAGAAATGAACAAATTATGTATATCTCCCAAGCACAGGATCACATTAAATAAAACTTTATCTTTTCTTGACGTGAGATACAAATGGGTAAGTTAAACCTACTTCTTTTTATGACTCATTATTATCACTTGTCCATGAAATACATTTACTTACTATGGATGTTTTAGGGGAGGATTTACAATTTATAAATGCTTTCACAGACAGAGACACAAAATCAAACAATGAAGTTCAGGGAAGTTGCAGCTAATGCAGATTTCAGTGCAATTTTCTAAAACTTGAGCTGGAGTAAATAAACATCCTCCTAAAATCCTTTCATTCTATAGTTTTTGGAAGTACTACTCTGTAAAGATTGTTGGACTTGACGTTGTGCTGTAACCCACATATTCCTGTAATTTCCTGATGCAGGGGATTTTAAAGGGTAAATTTGTAAGATGGGTGTCTTTGATTGCTCAAAATGAAGTAAGTCACTAAATTAATTAATCTTACCATAAAATACATTTTTTTAAAGATTCTTTATTCATTAGAGAGAGCAAGAGCACGAGCACGGGGAGGGGCAGAGGGAGAGGGAGGAGCAGACTCCCCCCTGAGCAGGGAGCCTGATGATGCGGGGCTCCATCCCAGGACCCCCGGCTCATGACCTGAGCTGAAGTCAGACGCTCAACTGACTGAGCCACCCAGGCACCCCCATAAAATGCATTCTTAATAATCTTGTTTCATAACCAAACTCTTTCAGAACAAATCTAAAGGTCAGTGTTGGAGTGGTACTGCTGGAGACCTTCCTTGGAGGAGACAATGATGGATGATATGTGTATCCAGAGAGAGGGCTAGGACAGGGAAGAACAGGGATAGAGTGAGACACCAGAGGGCTGAGGAGGAGTTAGGGAAACTGCTAATAAACTAATACCTAAGTCTGAGAAATTTCACAATGCTTACATGTTTGGCAGGTGCCAGAAATCCTGTTTTGGAATCAGGAGGGAATTGGCTTTTCACATTCTTCCTAAATTGAGGGTACTTCTATCTTCTCTCCAAGCAACAAGAGAGCCTTAACTTTGGAGAGCTGTCCTCCCCTCCCCATTTCCTTTGGAGCACACTGCATGTTTCTGTCAGTTCTGCTGGGGACTACTTCCAGGTGAAGGAGTGGGGCTTCGTAACAAGTGGGTATGGAAATTGTGGGCAGCTGGAGTGTCATGGTTCCCTTCTCCTTCCTCAGCTTTGCCTCCTATTGGTGAGACTGTGTATGAGTGAAAACCCAGAAGACACTTGACAACCGAGCTACTAAGAATGGACTCACAAGTGAGTAGGGAGTTATTCTTTCTACTGAAATAGCATGTCTGTTGCCATCATGTGAACATATATCTACAAGCATTTGTGTTCTAAGTACACTCACGTTTTTCAAGGATCTGAACTTTAAGCTTTCCAAGAACTGTGGAATGGTCCTGTTTGGTCAAGGACTCATCACGTGGTAATCTCTTTCCCAATGTTATGCTAAGATATCTCAGCCTCAGTTAATGCCCTGTATTTTCCGGAGAGATGAGAGGTTTTTTTTCCAATCCATCCCATGCCCTAGTCGGCACCAAAAATTCACTCATTAACCATTTTATTGACTGTAATGGGCTTAGGATTCAGGTCAATGCAGGTGATAGAGATGAAAAAGGAGCAAAACTTTACAGCCCAATAGGAAGGCAGATGTTCCCACATGTGAGCTCAGTCAATCCAGTATTATATGTGCTGGAGCGGTGGGTTGGGGGGGGTGCTAATTACTGAGGGAAAATAAATGATGGTCATGCCAGAGAAGTCAATGTGGAGTCAGTCTTTTTTTTTTCCAAATGTAAACCTCTTATAAGTTTTGATAGAATGTATTTGTACTTTTTGAAACTTATAAAAGAGAAAACTAAAATTCATTACTTCCCTTGTCCCAAATGAGGGGATTTTTTCCCCCTCTTTGTAATTTCCCTTAGTTCAAATTTGGTAACTGGAAACAATGTATAGGGAGTACTGTTTTTTGGGTTTTTTTTAAAGATTTTATTTATTTGAGACAGAGAGAATGAGAGAGAGAGAGAGAGCGCACATGAGAGGGGGCAGGGTCAGAGGGAGAAGCAGACTCCCTGCCGAGCAGGGAGCCTGATGCGGGACTTGATCCAGGGACTCCAGGATCATGACCTGAGCCAAAGGCAGTTGCTTAACCAACTGAGCCACCCAGGCGCCCTAGGGAGTACTGTTTTCTTAACTTTAAGTGTAATTCAGGAAAAGGAATATAGGAGGTAAGATAAAACCTAAGGAACTCTGGAAATTTTTGATGAGCTGAAGAGATAAGAACAATAAAATGGCTTTAAGCATGCTTGAACAGAGAGACCACATAAAGAAAAAAACAATGATAACTCATATGTGGAGGGCCTCAGGCAATAGAAGGGTCGGGGATAATACTATCCTTCATTATGGAAGTCTCAGAGCCTCTGGCTTGTGCTCATGAACCATTTAGGCTTATACTTTATAATGAACACCTGTTATGTGAAGATAAAAGGATGTGCTGCTGATCTCATATCCTGTGTGAATTCTGTTCAGTTTTGCAGAATTATGGAGATTGCTTCAATACTCTGACAAAACTAGAAGTTGTCTTTAAGAAATGTTTGCTATTGACATTTACTATGTCATTGGATCTTTAAGAACTCATAAAAGGTCATTACACCATTTCATGGATGGCGAAACTGAGGTCATATAAGGGAGTAATCTAATCAAAGTTCTTAAAAAGTGCCAGGTTGTGTAATGAGTCCATAGATTTATTTGAAATTGGTGGAGAATAGTGTTTTAGTTTTAAGTTTTCCAGAGAGACCTTTAAATTCATGATCTGGAAGTCTTAATTACAAGTTTATTGGGAAATCCACAGGTTATATCCACATCTCATCTGGTATCTCTATAATGAAATATATGTACTTTGAATGTGTGTCTGGGTATATCTGAAAGTCCAGTGTCCAGGTGTGCACTGAAAATGAACTGAGGCCAACATCCTGTTTGAGGTCTCTGTACATGCAGCCCCCGCTTCCTTAGTGCCGTCACCTGTACCAACCTCCCCTGAATATTGGCAGAGATAGCCCTGTCTGAAAACAACGTCCATGTTCTTCTAGGAATCGGTGACCTTTGAGGATGTAGCTGTAGACTTCACTCAGGAAGAGTGGACCCTGCTGGACAGGTCCCAGAGAAAACTCTTCAGAGATGTGATGCTGGAGAACATCAGTCACCTGGTCTCAATTGGTGAGTGTCTTAGTGTTTATTATGTATGTCTATGCCCGTTCACTCATTCATGCAACAGCTGTGTGGAAAAGATTGCTCATTTCTGTGATTTCTGAAGACTCTTCTTTCTTACCCACAACTACCTCACAGCAATCTTCACATTTTACTTTTATTTGTCATCCCACTAGAATTTCATGTCTTTCTTGCTACTCAGTCTCCACAACAACCAAACAGTGGTGGGAACTCATTATTTTTGAATTGGTAAGTAAATATACTTTTTCCCCTGTGAGGACTGATCAGACCACAGTATTTAAAAAAAAAAAAAAAAAAAAACGGGCACCTGGGTGGCTCAGTCTGTTGAGTATCCGACTCTTTGTTTCATCTCAGGTCATGATCTCAGGGTCGTGGGATTGAGCCCTGCATCAGGCTCCATGCTCAGTGCAGAATCTGCTTAAGTTTCTCTCTCCCTCTCCCCCTCCCATCCCCCCAGTCTCTCTAAAATAAATAAATCTTGAAAAAAAAATGGTTTTCCATGTAGAACCAAGATTTTTCTGGTGGAGTTGTATTATTGGATTCATTTAGGATATACTATTCAAACACCGTGAGAACTTGTATCTTCTCACTGTGTTAAAATATTGAAGATTACACAGTTTGTCTCTGAACTTAGGCAGCAACAATGATAGGTCCTTAATGTCTTTGGGAAAAGTCAAGAGTTAAACTTCTGTTGGTGAAGGACTATCCATGTTGTTTTCAACATACTCTTACCTGGGATGACTTTCAGAGGTTACCTTATTCTTTCTCATTAGTTGGCCCTATATTGAAGATCATGCAGTGTTATGGGCACAAAAGTCAAAATCCAATTATCTTTTTTTCTGTGAACAGGCAGACAACTCTACAAATCAGATACAATTTCCCACTTGGAACCAGGAGAGCACCTTTCAAAAGAAGGGAGAGGTTTGCTGCAATGCCGGAGTCTAGGTGAGCTACAGTAAGAGCCTAGTCAGTGAGTAGGCCCTAAGAATCATCAAATGAAATCTAGAAAAAATAAAACAATATGAGAGGGGAAAATTTTTTCAGATATTGTCATTATACTTAACAGGTGTCAGTTTCTATTCTGTCTTTGGGAAGGTAATAGTTATGTACTTATTAGAGTTAAAATATACAAAATGTCCCTTTCCATGTTTCTCTTCTATGAAGATTTTCCCTCTCTTTTCCTCCCCAACTTACCATCTCCATCTTATTTTTCTCATATTTCAGTCCTGAAAAGGTCAACTGTAGATGTCCTTTGTGTTTCTTCTCCTTATGGTATTCCTTAATTTGACATTCTTTCCCATCTCTGTCAGTATTTGAAACATACTCAATGAGCATTTAGTGTCTTCAGCATTTTAATTCCGTCAATGTTACTATGGCAATTTTTTCCCCATCATTTCAGATAGGGAAGATGATCTTAAAAAACAAGAAATGATATTCATGCAACATATCTGCAAGAAGGACACAACATTAATCAGTGCAATGGTAAGCTTTAAGGGAATGAACCTGTGCTTCTAAATGAGGTGGGTATTGAATAAAGGAACTGGGCACAATTACCCAACCATACTTTAAGTTGAAATCAAGGGTTTTCACAGCAGGAAGTTTTGGTTAGTTTGATTTTAGGGAAGAAATTAATCTGAAGTCAAAACCATAACCTGAGGTCTTGTAAACAGACAGCTGCATGATCATGACTTACATACCTAACATTTGAAACATAATAATGTCTTTAATCAGATATCCCTGCATTTGGGATGCTACAAAAAAGAAAATCTCTATGCTTGCTGGAGAGGAATACCCCGTTTATGTAACTAATCTTGAGACAATGTTGTAGGACTCTATCACTGAATGATGACTGTAGAATTTATATGTAGATGAAGGAAGGACGGAATAAATGTGAGGGAATTTTTAACAGTCTCTTATTTCCTTTCAAAAAGCAGAGATCTCACACTCAAGAGGATCCTTTTGAATACAATGATTTTGGAGAAAATTTTACTGAAATACTAACATGGACTCAATATGTGGTACCTAAAATGGCAAAGAATTCCTATATCAGCAAAGAATGTGGAAAAGACAGCAGTTATTTGACATCTTTTAATACACATAAGCAGAGTCACACTACAAGTAAATCATACGAATGTCATCAACGTGGGAATGCCTTTATTCAAAGCTCTGCCCGTAGACAAACCAATAATACTCAAAATGGAGAGAAAACATTTGAATGTCATGAATGTGGGAAAGCCTTTGGAAAAAGTTCCAACCTTAGGCGACATGAGATGATTCACACTGGAGTGAAACCACATGGATGCCATCTGTGTGGGAAAGCCTTCACTCATTGCTCTGACCTTAGGAAGCATGAGAGAACGCACACGGGAGAGAAATCATATGGATGCCATCTATGTGGGAAAGCCTTCAGTAAGAGTTATAACCTTAGGCGACACGAGATGATTCACACCAGGAAAAAACCCCATGGATGCCATCTGTGTGGGAAAGCCTTCACCCACTGTTCTGACCTTAACAAACATGAAAGAACTCACTTTGGAGAGAAACCATATGGGTGCCATCTATGCGGGAAGACATTCAGTAAAACTTCTTACCTTAGACAACATGAGCGAACTCATAATGGAGAGAAACCATATGAGTGTCATCTGTGTGGGAAGGCGTTCACTCACTGTTCTCACCTCAGAAAACATGAGAGAACTCACACTGGAGAGAAACCATACGAATGTCATCTGTGTGGGAAAGCTTTCACTGAATCTTCTGTCCTTAGACGACACGAGAGAACCCACACTGGAGAGAAACCGTATGAATGTCATCTCTGTTGGAAAGCCTTTACTGATTCTTCTGTCCTTAAACGACATGAGAGAACTCACACTGGAGAGAAACCGTATGAATGTCACCTATGTGGGAAAGCTTTCAATCACTCTTCTGTCCTTAGACGACATGAGAGAACTCATACCGGTGAGAAACCATATGAATGCAATGTATGTGGCAAAGCCTTCAATAGAAGCTATAACTTTAGATTGCATAAGAGAATCCACACTGGAGAGAAACCATATAAATGTTTTGTATGCGGGAAAGCCTTCAGTAAATATTTTAACCTTAGACAACACGAGAAAATACATGTTAAGGTAATAAATGTGGAAGACTCACCACCTATAGCTTCAAACTACAAACACTCTTGAGGGCTCAAATACTCAAGAAACACCATATTTATAATCAGTGTGGGAGAGCATTTATTCATCCTTATTACTTCACTCAACTGAAGGTAATCCAAAGTGGAGAGAATCCGTATGTGGGTCATCTATACGACAAAACCTTTAGATAATGGACTGACATGGAAGGATGTAAATGAAGTGAGTGAGGAAGAATTTTCATCCACAGTTCCGTCAAACAAAATGGAGAAGTTACATGTCAGAGAAACTATGTCTGTAATCAGTGCAGAAATACTTTGATTTATCCTTTTGTGCAGGGGAGTCTAGATCTGTCATCACTATGCACTCATTCAATTTAGCAACTCATTTGGCATGCAGAAGAAATCTGCTAAAACAAGAAGTAACTGGGGAAAAAATCATTACTAGGAAGACAAGAGAATTTTGTTGCCAAAGGGTTGTGTTCAGTGAGAACTAGGACATGAAAGAGACTGAGGATATTTGGAGTACCGTATTTCCAGGGTGCCTGACACACTCACGTGAACATCTGTAGTGACAAAGCACTGCCTTAGCAGCAAAAACCACAGTTAGGCACAGCTGGAAGCTGAAGCAGACAATCCAACTTTGCCCATATCCCTGACACACCAGCCACGCATGCATGTACCACCCAAGTGAGGAGACCTGTGTGTCCCAGGCCCCCCCACAGGCAAATGCAGAAAGCCAGGGGACCAGATAACAGACCGAGGCATTGGTCCTCACTCGCTTGATGTGACTGGTCACCTTGTTCACACGTGGCAACAAAGAGAATGCAGGTGCTTATAATTTATAACATCATGAGTGAGTGTGCAGTGCCCTTGTCAGTCCCCACTTATCTCCGCCCTCTGGTTTTAAGATAGTACTGATGTGTCCTCACACTAATTTGTTTTCTATGTGTAAAGTCTTAAACTCACCCATTAATGTCACCAACAGGACATAGTTTCCCAAACCTAGAACTATTGAATTTCTCCATCTTCTCATGTTTCTTATAACTTCTATTTTGTGTAGTAATATTATAAATTTTCCTCCTAACTCCAATCTAAAGATAGATGTGGATTTGTGCCTTGTGTCTTTTTTTCCCATCACCTTTCCTGCTGCTTTACAAAAATGGTTTTGTATTTTTTAATTTTTTAATTTCACAAATTGTCTTGAAAAAAAGGGAGACTGAAGTGGATATGGTTTTACCCAGACAAGTTTATTTTTCTCTTAGAGTGAGGAAACATCACTTCTTCCATCCAGGAATTGGAATAGACTCAGGCTAGGTGGCAGCTTTGATTTCATTCAGACATTCATGTCTTTCAGGTCATTCCTCTAGATTTATTGAAGACACCTTCCAAAGTAGTATAAACTGCGAAGACAAAACGCTTTCTTTTTCTCTTTATCCCCACCTAAAAACCTATGGGGAAAAGGATCCCAGTATTGAAGATTCTCTATATTTCAATCAGCCTGTGTCAGTCCAAATGTTTATATATCCATCTACTTGTTATTTCCTCATAGTGAATTTGCACATGATTTTCAGTGTCTATACGAAGCAAATTCCCCCAGGTGTGGAATTCAGATGGTCTCTTCCTGGTTCTTAGAGTCCTCTCTGGTTTCACAAATCTCTGAATCTAAAACATCTAATTTCCTGTTGTCTGTCTTGTCTCTACTCAACATCTTACCTGGAAGCAGAAGCCTCAGTATTTTGCTTGAACAGATTTCCAGCTGATTTTGTTCTCAGTCAAGAAAAGCTGCCTATTTCTCTGGACTGTCCTTCCGTGGTGTTCATTCCCAGATGCTTCAGTAGAAAAAGCCAGTATGAATATGAAAATCACATCACCGAGCTTCCCTTTTCTCAGACTGTATCACGTCATCTGAACAGGCTACACCTCAGTGCTTCTGCACAGTTGCTTGTATACTTTAGTTTCACTGCTGTCACTGGTTAGTTGGTCCAGTACAAGCTACTCAGGGCCAAAACAGAAATAATTCACCTGGAGACATTTTAAACCAAAGAATGATTCATCTCTATTTTTAATGCATAATATATTTGTCAGAATTTTGAAAATAGTAACTATTTATATTCTCCAGTTTACAAGTTGGAATCACATTAAAACTTTGATACTTTCTCATGGGTTTAATTATCTACACTTCCCTAACTTAATTTCTTGGTACTGTGTTCGTATCAAACACCCATAGGTCAGCCATACAAACCAGTTGTGCTGGGTTCTGATGGAGGTCAGCATACATTTCATTCCTGTGCCAAATGCTGGGCCTTCTCAGCCCTGGGCTTCCATGTTGATGTCCAAGGGTGAAATACCCTATTATCGAAGCACACATGGGCACAGCCGGGTTTTCCTTTGAGGACTGTGTCAGCAATTGTGTGTGTGGGCAGAGGGCACATGGTGATTATATGACCTGTATACAGTCATGTTTCCTTGTTGTTCCTGTGACTTGAGAAGGCATAGGTCATTATGGTGTCTGAGAGTATGTGATCAATGTGGAAGGTACACAGGTGACTGTCAGAACACAGACACGTGTTACCAGATCTCATCTGCGCACATGCACATGTCAGGGTTTGCATGTGTTGAGGATGTTGTGTCTACTGCGGGATCAGTGTGTGTGATGACAGTCTTAGAGGGCACACGAGGTAGAAAGCACCAGCTCAGCAGTTCAGTGAGGACTCACAGAGCATGCCCACGGGGACGCCTGCGAAAAGTGAGACCAGCATTGTGGGGTCAGGCCTGGGGGACCTGCAGGGGCTCTGGAGAAGGGAAGACTGGAATCCAGGGCCTGAACAGTTCAGAGATGTGGGAGCTGTGGGCACCAGGGATGGGGGCTCTGAGTGAGAGTGTTAAGTTTGGGCAGAAGGTTGAGGAGTGAGTTACAGAGCTATGTGGTGGAGAGCCGATAGGTTGGGGGATCAAGGATTCTAAATTCTCCACCAGGGGAAAGGACCAAAGCTACTTTGAAGCAAAACCCCAAAGCAAAAATGTGAAGTGATACATACTGGTGGAGGAAGGGGCAGGTGCAGAAACACCTGAATAGGGTAGGTGGGGCATGGACTGCCCACACTGGCTCCGTGTTTCTCAAGGCCCAGCACCATCTCACCGAAGCCTCACTGCCCCGGCCCCTTCCTGGGGGAAGCCCCTCTTTGACCAACACTACCTGCCCCTATAGCTTCCTGTTGAGCTAGAAGCAGATTTGCTGGAGCAAAGGTACCACCCAAGTGGACCAGGTGCTCCTGTCTTTGAGACTCAAATCCTGCATTCACTGGTACCTCTCCTCCCCACCCATTCTTCACACCTGGTTGCAGGAGTCCCAGCAGATAGCACAGTCCACGCATCTGCCCATACCATCAGCAGGGAGACCCCCTGAGAGGCTCAGGACACTGGCTGTTCTGCCACCAGGTCTAACTCACTTTGTTTCTAGTTAAAATGGATGAGAAGCTATCCCCGTTTGGACTTTCTGCCTTTGGACTCTTCACTGTCTCCTGTCCCAACGCTATAACAAGTCACAATTAGGGAAGTGGATTATTGCCTTTCACCACCATCAACCCTGTTGGCCCTCCAGACCATCCCCCAGGTGCCATGCCATTCCCGGTCCTAGCATTCTGCAGACCCCAGTCCTCTCCTGAGACCCCTTTTCTGTTCTCCTGGGAGCTGCGCCCTGCTGTTTCTCAGGCCCGCCCTTCAGGCTGCCTCAGGAAGGTCCCGGGGTGGGGGGGGGGCCACCAACCTCTCCTGTTCCAAATTTCACTTTCCGTGCTGTGTCTGGCATGGTATGTTTACATTCCCAGTGTGTCACTGGAAAGTGGGCTCTTCCTAGGAGGGCATCTTCAGTACATCCGTATGGATGTCTAGTCGGGTGTGGGATACGGAGGAAAGAACACATCAAAGAGGGAGAACAATAAGGGAGACGGAACAAGTCAGAGAAAGTAAGGTCGAACGAGAGTAAAATAAAGGATGGGGGGCAGGTGGATCCAATGGGCTCATAAAGACATAATAGCACCAAAATAAGAGTGATCTAGACAAGAATCAGTGGGGTCATCAGGGATGGAGGACAGAACAGAAGCCTTAACAGCGGCATAGGACACAGGAAGAGCCAATGTCCTAATTACCATGTTTTTAAAATTTTTTAAATTACTTCCCCCTCAAAATTTATTGTCACGAGGCCTCAGTGTTTTTCAGTATCATATACTGAAAATATTCTTCAGTCCTTGTTAAATAATTTTACATTATTTCAATATGTAGTTTGTAAGACATTAGATTTTTTATATTAACTAGTAAAACCCTGTTTAACCAGCTAGTCTATTATCAGCAGTATCCTTGCTTTCTTTACGTGATCTTTTGACTCAATGAGCAGTGAGCTCAACATGATTGATAAATTGCACAGAGCCATTTCTATAGCAAACTTCTCAGGTTTTCCTGGATCTTTTACCTAAAATTTTCATGCAGTCAAACATAAAACCTTCCCTTCATGCCCTCTTTCTTGCCTTCCTGTGAAAGGGCTCCAACTGTTATTATAAAATATTACTTTCTGAGAAAACAGACTTCATCAACATGCCAGGATACTTTTCTACTGTCTTCCTCTCAAAGAACACTGATTAGACAATCATCCAGCATGAGAGGGCCTTTGTGGAAATTCGGGAGCCCAGCAGAGAAGTTCCAGCACACTGCTGGAGCAAGGAAAGAAGAAGTCGTCGAAGACTAGGTGCATTAAAAAGGATAAGAGTAACAGTTTCACTTTAACCGGATCACCATTCTCCCAGTGGCACATCCTGACCCATGTTTTCTCCCACGGGAGAAAGGGAGAGCATCTAAGTGAGTGACCTGCTCCTCTAGCCAAAGGAACCCAGCTCTTCCTGCACTCCCTACAATACTGGGGTGTGATGCATGACCTGGGGCTGGGAAGCCCCTGTGAAAAGAGCAGGTGGAGGTCTTACAGGGCAACGGAAGAGATGCAGATCCTACTAACTCCACTGCAGAATCCATCAGGAAGCCTGTCCATGGCTGCCAGGGACACTGCACCTCTGAACCCCCCAGTGCTCAGTGCAAATCACCCACACATCTCTCAACCTGGCGGTCAGCTACCTGAGTGCACTCCCAACTGCGTCCAGAGTGAGCCTCGCAGGAGGCTAGAGAGCATGCAGACAACGCTGGCC